TAAAGGTCCATGTCGCGACCTTATACCGTCCAGCAAACTCCTGGTTACACTCTGTGGCGGAGGGGACATAAGGAGTGGAATAACCGACAGAAATGATATCACCTCAGACGAGTGAGAGGACCTTAGACATATAAAAAATGTTCGCAACGTACCGATTGATGTGGTCGCAAATATATGGTGAATATATAGTTTAAAATGTAGTCCAAGAAGAAAACGTGTGGAAAAAAAATCACAAGTTTTGGAAAATTTGAAATCCTTGAAAGTAATGACAAGGGATATATGAATATATAAGAGGCTATGTCGTCACTGACGGGATGATGATGTGCGTTGGACAATCCGGGTGAACAATCCAAGGCACCTTGGATCCACGGGCAAAATTCAAACCTTAGGAACATGAAACGGCCCCGCACTTTTATAGAATTTGAACAACAAGAAATATTATGTTCGCGGGAGCAATGGAGACAGAACACCTTAACAAATTGAACACTGCAGTCTCATAGAAACTACTACATCGGCTGGAATGACATGGAGGGCCGTTCATTCGACAGGTTGAATGGTCTAGCTTGCGGAAGGCGAAATATATGCAGGCCTCCACATATATGACGTCCGACTACGAAGGAAGTAACCGAATTGTTGACAATCCCTGTTATCTGATCTTTTTGCTGATGCAATAATGCCCGCAATCTGCAAGTAAAATTCAGAATACAGAGGCAAGACGTAACATAGTTGCAGATATGGCTTCATAGCAGGCCAGCGAAGGATACCTAAAGCCTCAAAAGTGGATAGATAGCCTGAAAAAATTGCCATAATATATAAGCAATCAAAGCACTGGAATAATAGAAATAATGAGCGACAAGACCTACTCATTCCCGGTAATTAGCTGCTACTCAGTTAAAATGTTGCTTCTCTCCTATATATTCTATCACACTGACGTATTCGCTCTGTAAATACGTACCAATAAGTTAGAAATAGCTGATAATTTCGTAGATTGGGGGGGGGGGGGGGGGGGCAGCATATACGTTCATCAACCACGGTTGGCGTGTTGCAAGAAATCACAGGCGTGTCTCTGATGAGGTTATGATGACCTCACAAACCAAATGTCACGTGAACGATGGGTTTGGAACCTTGGAAGGCTCCTATGGTGCTTGACCCGAGAGCCGCAAAAACGAATGTTACAGAAAATCGAAAAGATAGATAAAACGGCATGCTGTAAAACATATTTCGATGTAGATATAAATACCATATCAATATAAACAGCTTCTTTTTTCATATACACCATCAATTAATATAACAAAATCCCAGAACGTCAGTTGCTGAATGAAAAACCCGATTCAAATAATAAAAACGAGAATAAGAACCTGGCCAAAAAATGGGCATCATACGTAGCCTAATCATCGATATTAGCAAAGCAGAATTTGGCGAAATAGCTTGAAAGGTTGGGTGGAGAGCAAAATACAACTAGCAAAGGCAAAAAAAAATAAAAAAATAAAAAAGAAACCTACCTTTTCTCGCGCCCTGGAAAAAGAATCTAACAATAAACACTTGAAGCGCCGCCATAGTCATCATCATTAGGCCCTCGATAACACTGAAATTGAAAATCCGCTGCTCAGTACTGCGCACAGTGCTGAAATTTCGATTCTCACGTGTCCGGAAGTACTTTTGGTTCCGACTGATCGTCGACAACTGGCCTGAGATCTTAAAGATGGATTCCTCCAGCGCAGACGCTTGTTCGGGTGGTGCTCCTTGTTTCGAAGGGAGTTTGGCTCTTTCTTCGTTCTCGACCTGTGGCCGAAAAGTTACATTATGATCATCCCTGTAATTGCGGAAGAAAGCCAGGTAGAGGTATAGTTGGGGGGGGAAGAAAAACCTACCGTAATCTCAAAATCCACCAACTTCTCCGCAAACGTCGACATGTCATTGTCAAAGCAGAACCGGTACTCGCCCACCGTCTCGGCATTGAAGACGAAATCGCCCTGTCTCTCCTTAGAACCTTCCATGATCACCTTCTCGTTGGGGCCGACGACTGAGTAATCGACATCGAAGGAGCCGCCCGATTGTACCTGTAATGAGTAATCATATCATCAGCTCATTGAAAATCAGACAACAAAAACATCCCAACACATAAGACAGTACACAAGCATCCATCCACTCTTGTTGTCGTCCCGGAGGCTCTGCATTCATTTCCCTCCAACCACAGATATCACCAGAACCTCCCAATGCCATCCTAGCCCAGTCCCACACCATAAAGCTAAAGGAGATATATATACTAACCGCAAAATAAAACGCAACCTTGGCTGGCGGGCGTTCGACATAGGTGTAGAAGCATGCCTTTTCGCTTGCATCAAGTTTGTACGTTAAAGCGGTAGCAGAAACAACGGTGAGCCAGCAGGGGAACGCCAGGAGGCTCAGCGCAACGGTATGTAGCCGCATCGTTCAAAATTCGATCCCACGACGATGTTGTGGGCTTTTTGGTTTGCGAGAATATGAATTGTTGTTGACAGCTATCAGTAATTGATGTTTGAGTTTGGGACATAACTATGGGCTTTGGACAGGGGGATGTTTGCATTGTTTGCATTTGGCTTAACTAGTCATGGCAAACCGATCGACGGATACCAAAGTAAATTAAGAAACAACTATATAGTTAACTCCCTTACCTAAATTACATTATAAATTTATTCCCTGTATGCTGGGAGCAGTACGAATAGTATGTCCTCCAATACCACATCCACTTCACTGTAGTGCTGCTTGCTTTCATGATCACTCGTCAGACTACTATCGCATCTCTTTCCATTTCATTGCCTCTTTATATGCAATCTATCAACTTCTTGAATGGTCAAACCCTCTCTCTGATTTATGTATATTGTCTTTCACATTTTCTCTTTTAATCAGCATTTGCAGTCTTTAGCTTTTTATTTTCTCTTGTCAAAATGACAGCATCATGCATGATGATCTGACATTTATTAACTAGTTGATCAAGAGCTTGATTGATAGAACTGAGTAAACTCTGTGTATAACACTTTAAATATTTGTTAATCTTCTCACTCTGAAGCTTCAGTTGTCATATAATATAAAATGTGACAGTGATTCAAAAAATCTAAGAACTATAAAATGTCTTTGAAGAAATAGAAGTATATATTTAAATGTTAAAATAAATAAAAACTTACTCTAAATTGTATAAAGTTAGTTTTATAGCTCTAAAATTACTTTGAATATATTTTTCATTTAGTGCTACTATACAGATATAAGAATAAATAGCCAAAGTTTTAATTTTATTAATATGATTGATATTAAATCTTTATATCTCTTCTGAATATTAATTTTTAATAAAAATATTACATTCAAAAACTATATAAAATGAGAGAAATAAGCTGATATATAAAAGGGAATAATTAAATTCAGAGTATAAAATTAAATTAAAACTTATTATGACTATTATATTCATTTAAAATTAAAATTTAATATTAATCAATCATATAGAATTAAATATATTTATTAAACATCTTTTCAAATTAGATTAATATTAGTTTATTAGTTATTTATCTATTTTTACTGATTTTAATTTTTCAATTATGTAGTAGTTTATTCTCACATAAAATATTTGATTTAACTTTCTTTTAAAGATAATCATTGATAGTAAAAATCAGTCAGTTATATTAACTTTTTTAATAGTAATGACTCATTTTATATTCTCAAACTGTATAAATTTTCGATAAAAAATCTTTTCTAATTTAGTAATCATTTTAATTATTTCAAAAATTTTTGTCTGAAACTTAATCTTATTAAAATTGTATATATTTTTCTTTTTAATTATATACTTCTAAATAATGTTCTATACAAGTCTGAATTATTTTATAAATAATTTTAAAATCTTCATATAAACCTCATTGACAATCAATAATTTTAAAAATTAGAATTTTACCTCAGAATGATGATTAATGAATCAGGTAGCTTAATTAATGCCAGTAAATGAAGTGACAAAGCTGTCTCAATCGACAAGAAAATGATTGACTATTTCTTATGAAGTTCTTATCTGAGAAGATTGACTGCATTCAATCATAAAGATTATTCACTAAATGACAGCTGACTCTTCAGTAAAGATCAATTTTCAATTCTCGAGTTGAGAATTCTCTCATGTTGTATAACAATTCAATTGATATTATAAAGTAATAAAGAAAATGCCATATAAGCTCACAGCTTTCTTAATGCTTGATAAAAGAATCTTTTCTTCCTTATTGAAACCTTGACAATACCTTGATGTAGGCATCTTGTCAGTGAAAATGTTGGATACATACGTGTCAGGGAAACGTTCGACTAGGCGGTGGATTACATTAATTAAATGAAGGATGACAATCTGATATATTTTATCGCCAAGCCTAACTCCTTAAAACAGGACAAATAAAACTTCCTCCCTATTTAAAACCAATAACAAAATCAAGAAGAAAAAAAAAGCCTAACAACGCATACAGGTAACCTAATCCAAACAAGCAACACGCAAAGAAAACGCTGGTGCTTTGTATTTAATAAGGTAAAAAGGACAAAGCGGGCAGACAGACAAAAAGTAAGTAAATAACTAAATAAATAAGATCTCCTAGAATCAAATAGAATCCATCTGGGAGAAAGAGGAAATGAGAGAAGAGGTAAAGAGAATAACAATAGAAAAAGAAAAACTTCCATGGTTCAAAATTTGGTTCACCTCATTTCCCCATTCTCCAACTGCCATCTAACGATCCTTTTGACTCCGACATAAAACCTGTGTTTTTAACTATACCTTTGGCATACAATAAACTCAACTGCTATCCAGCAGTTTTCTCCTTTGTATTGATAACACAAAAGATGAAAAATGGGTAGCTTAGCACAGTATAACAAATGAAGGCAATAAGAGGAATGGTTGAGAGCAGAAAGAGGAGAGTGGAAAAGCAGCGGAACAGAAAGAATGGAAAAAACAAAGAATGTGATAAAGAAACAATCGAAACCTGAGTCCATTCAGTGGTTTGTAATGTCTATCGGATAAAGAATCCCTCACTCTTCCAGAAACTTCTGTTTTTATTTACATGGTCGAGGCCGAGCACATCTTGTGGTTCAGCGGCCAAATCTGAGAGTATATCGTCTACATCCTTTAGGTGTTAGCGGGGAAAGAATTAAAACAGTGATTTCTGCGAACTGGGAGTGTAAAGGAGGGGAAGGGGGTGGGTGTTAATTGACGCACCATCGTCGATATATCTTGGATTACAAAATCCTTGACGAAGGGCCATAGCAAACTTGATCTTCTCAAATTGCTTGCCTCGAATTCCTGTTCTTTTCGAGAGTCGCTCCTTGGTCTCTTTGAAGATCTCGCCCTGCAGTTTTGTATGCGGTCAAAAAAGTAATCCATGTTGTGAGGGAGGATGGGGGTAATTCAGATAATATAATGTAGCACATACTGGCTTAACAACGAATCTGAATGGAACGCCATGTGTTTTATTCGGCTCCTTGTCGAAATTGAAGCAATCGATTTTGTATTCTCCTTCTTGCATATTAAGTTCTTCCTGTGGTATCCTCTCAATATAAAGAGTCACATAATCTGTAATGCTAAGTATGCTGTAGTTCTCGGGGAGCTCCTTATACACCTTCCCGCCATAAACTTCATAAACGCGCAGGTGTTGTGCAGTCTCATCGTCGAGGTTGGCCCGTTTTTGGAAGCCCAAAATCAGATCAGAGATATTGCCGTTCTTCGCAACGAGGATATCGTATGGTTGCTATGGTAATATGGTTAGCAAGATAGTCAGGAATGATAACGATATTAAAACCCATTCGGGGCGAAAAAAAGTTACATGACGAACCTCCTTAGAAATCCCCTCAGGAAGCCAGGTGACCTTAACCATCTTCTTTGTTTCATATTCACTCAAACTAGTTTCGAGAACCTCATAATAAAGAGCGTCCGGCCGATGAACACTGTATCCATAAGGCGAATACTGACTCGTCAGGATCTGCTGGAGGTTCTGTGTCGCATTCCGCTTAATGAATGGTTTGGGCTTCCCGCTGTTCTGGAGCACGGGCGCAAACCGTATATGAGTCGGGTCAATCTTTAAATGTTCGCCAACTTTTGACGTCCATTGTTCGTATGTCATTTTACGGCTGAGAGTTAGTTCGAAAGTTTCGTTTTCTTCTGGTTTTAAAGGCGCGAATTTGACTAAGATTCGATTCAGAAGATAATCATAGTACTGCCTGGCATCTGTGTATAAGACTGTGGGTGGGAGTCTACGAGAGGGTCTTAGTAGAGTAGCTTAAAAGAGCGCAAGGAAAACCAAATATTGAGGGCATTTCATACTCAGAATCGCTGACTTGGCGCTGGAAGCAGATAATGTCTCCGTCTTGTATTTCTGATTGGTGGAAAGTCTGCTTGGATTTCATCGGTTCGATCATCGAGTGTTTTATTTCCTATTATCGCGGTAAGTTCGTGTCTTGATTTCATGAAATATTGGTCACATACCTCAAATAATATGAAAGGGGTCCCAGCAGGCCAGTTCATCAATTCCAGAATTGGACCAGCCAGGTCTGAGACCTTAGAATGTTTCCGAACGAAAACGTGCCCAACACCAGTCAAAGTCTGCTGAACAACATCGAAGTGCTTCAAGAAAACAAGGCTGGTCGCATTACTGCCCTGAGTTTCGGGCCAAGTTGCTTTGCCGTCGGCTCCGAGTTCTCCTACTTCGATAAACAGTCGGAACTGACTTCCCTTTGTACCGTATCGACTAAACGCCTCTTCGACAGACATATCAAGATCCTTCAGAGGTTGATCTGGGCGAGTGGTTTTATTTTGCCTGTTCACCATTACCCAAAGTCTCACTTGGTCGGGTTGCAATCCCTTTTCTTCAGCAAATTCAGCCACAAACTCGCCAACTTTCTTAGTCCTGAGAACACGGTACAATTTCGCGGCAGCGGGGTCGTCAGGCTCCAAATCCAGACTGGTCAAATCGAATCCATGATGGGCCTTGAACGACTCATCAGACAGCAACCCGATGTTCATATAGAGATGTTGCTCCTCCCGCTCCTTTTTCTTTCGTGCTATCTCAGCACGTTCTTCAATGAGACGTTTCTCTATTGCAGTTCAAACCAGGGTACCAGCTATTAGCCATCTGCCGAAAATTGAAAGAAATGGGAAAATCGGGAAAACATACCAAGGTGTGCGGGTATATCTTCTTTCACAACGTCAACAAGAACGTCATTTACTCGAGATTTTCTGATGTACACCAACATGTACGCATTCATTGATCGCTTCATGGAATAGCCTCGCATATATGGCTGTCGAACTCCCGTTGTACCATTGGCGACGTTGGGATATTCTCCACCAAAATTTTCCTCAAGAGTTTCCTTCATGGTTGCGCGAATAACCTTGTCATCATCAAACTTATAGAACATGCCATCCTTTGTTGGTCGAAGATATGCGTAGTAGTGGCCGGCATTGAAGTCGCCACTATGCACAAGGACACCGTGTAGTTGGTAGACCCATGGCTCTGATTTATCTGCATCATCCGATAGATATGGTGCCGCGTCAAATTCCTCTGGGAATTCAAGTCTGTCGTTGATTTTCATCATGGCGTCGCGATTGATGTCATATTCGAACCGTTTGAGATGCAGGTGGAGGACGGGCGGGAAGCTCTCAAATATCACACCCTTTTTGGCCTCCTGAAGCTTATAGGGTTCTCCAGCGTCATACTTATTTTCTCCTTCCAACGTTTCAACCTGGATGTAATCTTTGAAACTGTCATCCAGGGTCCTATTGCCCCGGACGTTCAGTTGGATATCCCAAAAGTCTTCTATCCTGGACGACTCATAGTCAACATGAATGCAAGATATGTACGTTTTTGTCTTTCCAACAAATAGTTCAGGAAGTGCTTTTTCAGCAGGGGTGCCCTTCATCTGCCCTTCGAGTTTATCCATCAATAATCTTGAAAGTTCTTGGACATCCTGCTGCTCAAAGGTATGTCTCGATTCCCAACCAAAGGAAGATGTGAGTTCAGCCGTCGATACCGGAACGTCGCTGGTTTGAAGGTGGTAAAATAGTCGTTGAAGAGTCCATGCTGAATTTGACTTGTTGGCGTCTTGTTCGGTGGGTATTTGATAAACAGCCTGAATTTATGTAATCAGCAGTCTTTTTTTTTTTTTTTTTTTTTTTTTTTTTTTTTTTTTTGGTTTCTCTAACAGAAGACAGGGGAGTCTGACCTTTCGGAACGAGTTCGTAAAGAACAGAGACTGGAGCAATGAGTTGAGATAGCAAGTAGCACCCTGATTTCTTAGGCCTACCATTCCTGTTTCCTTCTTCGAGTCATAGCTGCAGGGAAATGTAATGTTAGTTGGCAGGGACGATAAAAAGCGTCAGACGAGTTGAGTTTTACGGACTTTTGGAAGCTGTGCCACAGAACCCCCGTTGGATCTTTCACCACGCGGACATAAGCTGTGAGACAGGCTTCTTCATTCTCAACAAGCGGGGTTCCTTTATCGTTAAAGGCCTGCTGGAATAACTTCCGGAGTTCGCAAAACCGTGTAAACCCCCAGTCTGCCTCATCTGCATTGAAACGGTGGTGTGCCGCTACAAAACCAGAGTCAGTTGGGGTTCCAGCAGCAAACCTGTATCAGGGACAGAAGGGAGAAACCTCATACAGTGCGTAATATATATTGAAGGATCATTCTTATTCGACAGGACCAACGCAAACTGCACACATGCATACCAATTATCCGGAGGGGGGTTCTCGAAGCCGTGTTCAAGGTAAAAGGATGCATGGTCGACGCCGTTCCCGAATGGGAAGAACAAAACCCGCCTAGATAACACTTCAAGTGTTAGAGTATATGCTCTGAGCAGTCGCTTACGAAGCTCCGCATAAACCGCATGAGGTATAGGATTGGCACGGGGAACGCACCATGGAGCTCCTCCACACTCAAAAATCGGGCCATGTTCTTTCCGCCGCAGCTTTGTCCAGTTCTCGATATTCCATGTATTATACGTTTGTGCTTCTGTTTCCAAATCTGGGTTTTCCGGCAAGACTTTTGCCATCATCGCCTCATCTGCACACACGCCAGTTTGTTAGAACAGATATTATGGACCAATCCCAAACATATATAGCCAATCGCGAAAATCAATCCATCACGGGTGCGGGCGGCCACGGGGGCTACGGGCGATCAAAAAACGAGCTGACCCAAATTAATCGGGGCATTCGTGGTCGACAAGGACAGCAGGAAGGGCCGGACAGGAGTTTTGTAATTGCTAGAGCCGATAAATAGGCACGCAGGGTAGAGGGCAACATACAGTCAGTAGCTAGAGGCTCCGGTTCAGGTTCGCTGGCGGAGCCGGGAGGAGACACGACGACAACATCCGCGCGGTCACTGGGGTACTGGTCGTAGTCGTCGACAACCATATCATTGTCCGTAAGCTGCAGATCGCCCAGTTGAAAGGGCAGGTCAGCGGCATCCTCACAGCTGTCATCCATGGCGATTATAACTGGGGGGCCCGAAGACAAAGAAATAGAGGATTGTAGATAGAGCAGAAGAGCAGCAAAGGAAGAAGAGGAGGGTTGTGGATAAACACTCACATTGTCCATGTTGGGTCCGGTTTATTTCACCGGGAGGCGATGGGCAAGGGCCGGGACGCGGCTTCTCACTCTCTCAGCTCAGATATAAAGAAAGAAGAAGAAGAAGAAGAAGAAGAAGAAGAAGAAGAAGAAGAAGAAGAAGGTGGAAAGGGGGGGCGTTTGTGTCTGCAGCAGGTGGAGCTGGGAGAGAAGTCGAGGGAGAGAGGAGGAGAAACGGGTAATGCGCAGTTAATGGGTCTTGACTAATGGGTGGGTGGGCGAGATTTGCATCTCCAACTTTTGTTCTCCGAACATCATCAACCTCAACCACAGAGCGCTGAGTAACGGAGAGGAGGGGAGGAATCGAGGGTTTGCACGAAGTCTATTATTTAAAAATACAAAAATAGATATCACAACCTAGATATGTATGTATATGTATATATATGTTTATTTATTTACTTGCTGATGAGATATTCAAAGCTCTTTAATGTTCTGCACCATGTTCACTTCTATCAGTATAGGTTCGTATTCATACACTTGAATATCTATAGATCTCTTGGATGTGGGTTTGATATTCATGTTCCGAACATACATATATACTCTATAGCTACCCCAGTGGATAGGTTCATTGTCTTTTTATTCAGCAGATATTGCAGAAAACGCCATCATCAAAGAATATGCATATTGAGCATCGAAGAAAGTTTGCTAGCCCTCCCACAGCAGAAGAAACAGTTTCCTGAGACCTTTTTGTCTGCAAGAGACCTAGATAAGCAACCTGGTCTGCTGTAAAACTTCAGGTATGCTAAATGCAAGAGAGCCCCTGAACATAACTATACACAGCATCTCCACAGCAAAGTTGTGTCAGATCCTCACATTAATTGGCGTTCGGGGCCCTTACTGAGCCGATTAAAAACTATACTGTTAGAGGTGTTACTTAGGAGGTCACTAAAGCAACGGATCCCTCTAAATGGGAATATTAATATTCACTCAGGAGAGAGCAGAAGCTAATGAGGGCATCAATCAATAGAATTAAAATATGTCCTAGCGATGACAATGACAGCTGAAGAGCTCTCTGCTAGCAAGAAAATCTTTGACCCGCCATATTTACCTGAGAATTCAATAATTGGAAGGGTGATGAACGAGAAATCTTTTCTTTGAACACTTGGGCGGATCGGAGAGCAATCCCGTAAACCACAGTTGAGGATACCAAGGAGATTGACAAAAAGACGAGTCACTACGACTGGATCCAACCGCTGCACCACGATAAACTTGAGAGAACGACGGTGGATCTCCTCAGAGAGAACAACAAAATTCCTTGGAACCCAAGATATTCCACTATTAATATCTACTAAGCCTTTCAGGTTTCCAGCCACAGCACGGCTTATCGAGAGAGCACTTGGCGAGTCTCACGCTCCCCGTAAACGCGTCCACACATCAGCGAGGGTTACTCGTCAGGCTGGACAGTTGCAGACGCACTTCGGCGATCACAAAGAATGCTATGCAGCAACTGAGCTATTTCAATAACTCCGGATCTTTAAAGAACATGTTTAACTAAATTATTATTTTATTCCCAGGTCCCCGGCTGGGGAACGAACTGTGGGGCAGTTTGTCGTTTGGATTTGATAGCGGACATCCCTTTCTTTCACGGCCGAATCCCCGCCATTGGAGTTGTAAATTCTTCGTTTATGTGCTGATCTGATCCTGCAAGGCTGGCAAGCTTGTTCGAGCCATCACGACCTATTTAAGCTCAGAGGATTCTGCTCCGCCACTGGATTTTTTTTTTTTTTTTTTTCCTTTTATTTTACTGATAGAGTCGTAGCGTACGGGATATTGACATATTTATTATAGGCGAGGCGAAGATATACCATTCGGAGCAATCAATTTTTTATTTGCTTTAAGATTGCTTTTGAGCTCTCTCTTTTCTTTTGATCCCTTCCCCAGCACTGAAGAAAAATGCTAGCTACTAAAAATTCTCTCCTCTTGACGGCAACTAACTACCGCAAATGCAGCTGATGGCCACATTAATTACGGGAACAGTTCTGACGAACGAGACATGTTTGCCCTGCGTGGGCTCCGTGTTGACCCAGCCATCTCTTTCTGTTCATTCATTATGGGACAACCTGCCCACACCAAGTGGGCATTCTCGTCTACGCACCCAAATCGGTCATATCACCATATCCCCCTGGAACAGAGCAATGCGATAAGACTGGCAGAGATTCTTCCAGGTCAGGGTAATGACAACTTACAATTGCAACTACATCATGCCAATCTACAAGATTCTCCCCCTTACGAAGCTTTGTCGTACGAATGGGCGGGGAATACCGGATTGAGACCAGTAAAATGTGGCTCACAAGAATTCCATCTCTCTGCCAATCTACGAGCAGCACTAAGGCGTCTTCGATATGCCAACCAGCGGAGACTGGTGTGGGTGGATGCTATATGCATTGACCAACACAACCGTCAGGAACGCTCACACCAGGTGTCAATGATGAGGGAGATATACCGAAAGGCCCAGCGGGCGTTGATTTGGATTGGAGAGGAGAAGGAACACACAGGCTCTGCCTTCGAAATAATACCGGAATTGGCGGAGAATTGGGTTTCTCAAGGATCGGGGGACGACATACCTCCAATCCTAGCACGAGACACAGGGGAACCAACTGCAAACCAGCTTCTAGACCCTTCCAACAACGCCTTATGGAACTCGATCATCGATGTATTCACCCGGCCCTACTTTAGACGGACATGGATCATACAGGAAATTATTGTCTCCAGCCAAGCGACTGTGATATGCGGGAGCTATGACGTAGACTGGACTTCATTTCACCGAGCTGCAAATCACCTCGTCCAGGATGAGTTTCGCGCATCTCGGGAACCTCAGCCATCGACATTATTCCTCATAGCACTTATCCGGCGCATCGAGCGAAGGTTTGAGAAAGGGGATTTACGCTTGCGAACGCTGCTCCGGCATTTCCGCGCTTCGAAAGCCTTAGACCCCCGTGATAAAGTATTTGCGCTACTTGGCCTGGTGTCTCGAAACTGCTCGTCAAACTCCGGCAATCTTATCCCTAGTTCTAATCCAAGTTCACCAGCCCGCGCAATAAAGGCTGACTACACAAAGGTAATCGAAGATGTCTACCATGAAACAGCCGCATATATTATCACCGATGAACAAAACCTAAAACTTCTTACAAACGAATATCCACCAAACGCCCGTGAGCTCCAAAACATGCCATCTTGGGTTCCCGACTGGTCCGCAAACTCCAAACCCCTCCATCCGCTAATCCGCAAAAGCGACCGGCTCAGCACGCTCATCAAGGGCGACATCTACTGCACAACCACCTCCCTCCTCGTTAACGGAAACATATTTGACACAATAAGCTACGCTTCAGAAGTCATAACATCCTCCAACGCACACTTTATCCTTCATAATCTCATAAAGCTAATGAAAGCCAAAACTGGCACGGGCTCCCGCTACCCCGCAACCAACCAGCCCCACAACGAAGCCCTCTGCCGCACGCTAGTTGCAAACAACGCAATCCTACGCCCAGCTCTGGACGAAACGGAACGCTACTTCTTCTACCTCCTCCGCGACCGCATGACAACTGTACAAGTTCCCATCATCCAAGAGGGCCTCTTCAATGACCTCGAGTTCCTACTCTGGGCAAACGTCGCGGAAAAAAATGAGCCGTATCTGCGCGAGCTGCGTAGGACACTGTATGATCGGGCCTTTTTCACGACAAGGAAAGGGTATATGGGGATTGGACCGAAGGGGAAAACAAGGGTTAGGGTTAGGGATCAGGTGGCGGTTTTGGGTGGGGGCTTTACGCCATTTATTCTGAGAAGGATGGAAGGTGGCACCACTGCTTGTGACAGTGTGGGTGGAGACGATACGATGAGTTATACACTTGTGGGAGAGTCGTATATTCATGGGATGATGGAGGGGGAGTTTTTGGAAGATGGACAGGATTTGGGATATGAGAGGATTGAGATTCGGTGACTGCTGGTGCGGCGGGAGACGTTGGGACTTGGAAAATGGTGATTTTTCTCCTTTTGAAAATGTTTTTCATTTGGCACTGCATGGAAGCGTAGGTGTTAATCGGATTCAAACTTGGCATATATACCCAGATCATCATCTATCTATAAATACGCCTGACACACTATTTAGTTCGTCATAATGATAAAATTTTAAATAACATAATTCTCAACTGAGGGGGATCAAGATCATCAAATTGAAACACACATCAAATTTATCAACTTGCCTGCTTTGACACATCGGCATGCTACCAATTCACAATAAAAAAAAGACGAACCCCATAGATATAGAGGAAAATATTGAATTTGTGATATCTACCTTGAGAAATAAAGAAACTACCTCTATTCATGAGTCATTATACAGAGCTTCGAAGCCGATATTCAAAATATTTACAATTATGAGAGAGTCAAATGTGATTAAGATTATTCAAATGATTTGACCCACACTAAATGCTGTCTTCACTTAGTACGGAATTTAATATAAAAATATATATAACTTTAAATGAGATTGAATTCGTGTCTGACGTTGAAACGTACGTTGATCGGCCTCCGTACGGCCGTGATTGTTATCGCCCGAATCCATTTGATTGCTCGCCTTAACCCAAGTTTACATTTCGAAATCCTGCTCGTATTTCTATGATTTTTTAAATAGAGCCTCTATGTCTTCTTCCTTTTTCCTTTAGAGAGACATTTATTTATAATGATTTGATATAGATCTGAATTGATTGCACAGCTACAAGTTTCTATCATATAAAACTCACAATTTGCAATGAGATTTTTGTGCAACTAAGATTGTTATCGGTTCTGAGTAATATGAATGCATGAAGCTTTTGTAGTAAAACTATAATGAGTTATAGTTATTGAATTTGTGAACATAATTATACATTATTCTCCAAACTTAAAATACTTAAAGAAGGTTAATTTAATGACCTTTCATATGATTGAAAACTTTATATCAGTTAATAACTAGGTAACAGATGAAAAATGAGCTCAAATAACCTACAAAGATATTTATTTCAATTCCTTATATATAAAGTAGAGAAAGCTATTTACAAATAATTATAATAATTATTTTATTTTAAAAATCAACTAATATTGCTCAAAGATAAATTCTTTTTATATATTATCTTATTTATCACATTCATTATATCATTTAAATATAATACTTTAACTATAATTAAAACAATAGAAAAAATCTTTATATATTAACTTATTTAATTCTAATTAAATTATTTAAAAGCTTAATATTCAGATCTAATATCAATCTTTTTAGAAGTAAATTTAGAAATTTATAGTTACCTTGAATTTTTCAAATATCTGAAAATATTCATCAATTATTAAAGATAAATATACAAAGTTAAAAAAATTCTTAAATAAAATTTTATAAACTTTTTTTAAATTATTTAACAAAAATTTACTCAGATTCTTCAAAGTTAATTACTACTCTAATTATAAAAAATAATATTAGAATATATTTGTTTTGAATGAGAAACAAAATTATACAAGATCTAAAAGGTTCCTTTAACATTAAGGTTTTACAAAAGAAGAAGCTGAAAGTCTTATTGTTTCTCAACCTGACTGTTAAAAACTATGATCAATCAATAATATGAATGTGAGACTTTTGTTCTGCAATCATAGTTACGAGCTTCTCAGAGATGTAGTAACCGTGGAACTATTGAACATACAATTAGAGCGTGCCCTAACCCTAGTATAGTTTAATTCTATATATAATTCCTTTTGATATTTGCTGGGAATTGTAATTGAAATTAAATACTCTATGTGCGGTGAGTTTGGTGATCAGCTCGTTACTTGGACGAAAACTAATTTATTTACCATAGCATTCCTAAAAACCAACCAAAGCTGTCTCATTCGTCCTCTATGTCTATATCGCAAGGGATATACCGCAAAAGCAACACATCCAACCCCTTAATGAGTATATAACGAATACAAAACACCTTCAAACAAAAATGAGGTTTATAATATAAAGACGAAAAATCTTCACGTAAATCTGGGGTATATATGTTGCAAATACTCCAAATTCAAAGGCCACCAACACCAACATCATGTGCTCCGCTGTCCAAATCAATCGTAATCCAAAACCTAACATCGCCCTTGGCTCTTGCTCATCCCTTGACTGACATATCGTGTACCGTATTCAAAACCTAACATCGCCCTTGGCTCTTGCTCATCCCTTGACTGACATATCGTGTACCGTATTCAAAACCATGAATCCGCCTGGGTCGAAGCCGGAAAGCGTAAATACTCCGGACCAAACTCCCCAATGATCCACTCACAAAACGCCTCCCAGTTCCTTTCCCACGTCTTGAATGTATCAGTTCTTTGCTCCGGATCCATACACGAATGCTCAATACTCCATTCGGCCAGGACCCGCCACCCAAAGAGCGTCATGGAGTCATGGTGCAGAATGGTTTGATAGAAGTCGTGTGAGAGCGAAGATCTATCAGGCAATATGTTAGCCTTACATGCTCATATCCCCAAGCGGCATTCACATAATAAAATTTCAAGAAAGTCAAAAGCACCAACCTAAAGTACGAAGGATTATCACTATTAATCGTACACGGGACTGAATTCGCTAGGAGCGTTGGCAACACGTGTCCCCGCACGGACGAGCATAAATGCAGCACCTCATTGGAAATAGGGCAGATTTCCAGCGCGATGCTTCGCTCGCGACACATTTGCATGAGCAGCGGGTGACGTGCCATCGCGTAGCCGTGTCCAATGCGCTTGGAGCCCAGCAATATGGCGTCGTAGAGGTTGCCGTCTGTTGGTCCCTGGCTCTCGAGTGTTTCACCAGCATGGAAGAGGAATGGAATGTCCAGATTTAGGTTGGAACAGGTTTTTTGGAACTGCAAGAGTTCAGGAATGTAGTGACGGATTGGATTGCCACGGCCTTCGCAGCCTACCATGTCAAAGCCTGTGATGTGGGTGTTGGTCAGGTTGTTGGATGTCGGTTGATAGGGAGGGGATATGTTTATGGAATACGAACCGCAGATCAAATCTGGGAATGATTTTTTTAATAATACGCAATCGTTGAGGCACCATATCATGTCTTCCTTTCTGATGGAGCGAGGTGCGCAATAGATGACTTTCAGTCCCTTGAAGCGACCAGTTCCTTTGCTCTCTGCGTCAAACTGCTTTAATTTTGCATCAACCTCCTGTTGGATGATTTGCATCCAAGCATGGTGGTCAAGTTGCCTAATACCATCATCACTGACGATGTATTTATCAAAGAAATTCGGCCGGACTTCAGCGTACATGACGTTGTCCTCAACGAAGCTATCAATGGCCTTTCCGATGTAGCTCCGGAACGCAGATTCATAATTGAAGAGTCCTTTCATCATCTGTGTGCTGCGATTAAATAGATCCCAAACCCTGGATGATAGATTTTAGTGAGGTAGGTCCACTGATGTAAAAATGAAGGGAGAAAAACACATATTTACTTGCCCGTCCATCGTCTGTTCCATAGCATGCACATCCTCGGCGGACATAATGCTTTTATTCGCCAACCATTCCTCTGCTTTTCTCCAACCACCAGGAAACTTCTGCAAGAACTGGGAATATCTCATCCAGGAAAGGGGTTTGTAATTTCTGTCGAAAATGTTCATTCCCTTGGTCGAATCCTGCAGGATAGAAAATGTTATCGCCGCATCCTTGAAATTATCAAGCTGCCTATTGAGAGACAGACTGCTACGAATGAACATGCATTTGATATTGCGTGCATGTGAAACGAGAAACGAAGGGTGGAGGACGGTATTGAAATGACAGTGTAGATGTGCACCCTTGGGCAGCCGCTGGGCGGCCCGCATCAGGTCACTACAATTGCCGTTGATGAGGTCAACATTTGCCAAAAATTGATCTGACGCGCCGGAGTCGAGAAGTCTTGCGCGCTCCTTACGGCGGATAGCCTCTAGAATGGATGCTGCATCCTTTTCAGCTCTTGATGCTTTGGCTATCGCAGTAGCATCAAAAGCCATTTCTCGTTCTTGATTCTGCAAAGTTTCGAGGGCTTTGAAGTATTCGGTTGGAGAGGACGGGATGTTTGGTCTTGAGCCATGGGCTGAGGAATGTTCATTATTCTGAGTTTTTAAGCGACAGGAGAAGGATTCCTTGATCCATTGGAAGTAGACCATCTCCTTTGACTTTTGGTGGGACGTTCGATATACAATATTTGGTCCTCCCAACCGTCGTCATTTATGTCCAGATTCTTTTCCAGGTTGTGATCTATCCCCTCGACATTACTCTGCTGACTGTTGGAAACACCCAGGGAATATATATAGACAATGAATTTGAGCATCAAAATGCCTAGTGAGGCGGTGTTTTTTGCTATCCATTTACTGAAAGAATAGCTTCAAGTCCTGTGCTCCTGTTTTTGCATTTATCTGGCTTTCAATATACGAAGTACCCTGTCAGAGGCGGTCAAAATGCCAACCGCCACAGATTCCAAGACGTGGGCCAATTTTTGGAGCGACATCCCCAAAGATTTCCAGCATACGCCTATAGGTGGCTGTAACAAGCTGCCCTGTTCCCGGCTAGTTTGCACAGGAAAGCCGCGGCGTTGTTTTATTGAGCCTTTGATTTGACTGTCAACTTAGAACCAACCAGTTTCGTTCTACACCAGCCACAGACAGCGGGGTTCAATTGGCGCTCCGAGAAGTTTATAGGCTGACGCTTTCTTTCGAGAAGAATGGTGTGTTTTGGAGAGGGAGCTGCTGCACAAGGGGACTTAACGCAACACAAGGCTCCGCTTCGAATCGGAAATTCATCATGAGGGGTCGAACGACGAGATCCCACAGATCAATCTTCCTGATGGCCATCAATCAAGGTCAGTCTGGCGTCCAATGATCCCAGTCAATCCTTTCGCCAGATGTCCTTGCGACCCAGTCACCCTTTGTCAACAAAATCTCTATCAGCCTTGCCGTAATAAAGCATAAGCGAGTGCCATGCTCAAATTCCCAGAGAACCGCAATGACTGGAGCTTGGACATCGTTAGTTTGCTCGCCGTTATCGGCGAGAGCGCCATGTCTGCGCACTCCCAACCGCTGACAGCTTCAATTCTCTGTCTTCTTCCTCGTATCCTGCCTGCCCCACAGGCGCTCTTGAGGCATGCCCGGCCAACACGTCTACCATCTATTCCCGCGCATATTGTCAGTATTCACTCCGGAACTCTCCTCGTTGAGCTAAACCATTTCGCAAACCTCATCTACAACATTAATCTTCCCAGTTTTTCCGTTCACGAAATCCGGATTAAGCATAGAGAGGGCTACGAGGACACATTACGTGATGAGAAGAAGCTTAGAAACCGCATCTTTAGAACGCCAAAGGGTGTAATTCACGCGAGGCCGTTTTCACCTTTATTTTTTCTCTCGGTTGCATCATTCTTGCTCTCTGTCGGCTTGTGTGCCTGGGCTGTTATACTCGAAGATGGCGTTGCCGTTATTGCTATTGTGGTTGTGTCAATCGCTTCCAGCATCATCGGGTTGTCCTCCATGTGGCACCCAAACTTGACGGTGCGGAAACGCAAAACAGTGGTGCCAGATGGTGACCTTGTAATTCGGACAAGACAGGGCGCTTTCGTCATAATACGGTGCACAGAAGAGGTCGCTCGCGAACTCTACACGGGAACAGAAGAATGCAGCTATGTCGTTGGCGACCAAATTTTCCGCGCCTTAGTTGGAGTAGGGACATTCCTGCTCATGAGCGCTGTCATTTTGATGGGGAATGCCACCTGGACCATGCAAGCAGCACTCGGTTGTTCATATGTCCTTCTCAACGGATGCTATCAGATTGCTGCACTTTTCCCCATGAGATGGCATTGGAACCTTGTACGTTATGATCTAGAAGAGATCAAGCAACTGCAAGCACAGACTTATACGCAAGCTTTGTGGAATGCCATCCGCGTGTCTCAGTTCACTAATTGGGTGCGGGTGAGCCATGCTGCGCCTAATTCTGAGTCATGGAGAGCTTGGATCGATCTCGCCGGGGATAATATACATAGCCCTAAGTGGGACGCTGAGAAGGCACTGGATCAACTGCTGAATGCGGAGAAGAGCGAGGCTGGATTTCAACCTGCTACAGATGTTGTTACGACGGAGGAATCCTGCTCCTGTAAGGGCAATGATTAATGATATTGTATGTAGATTATCTTCTTAGCTGGTTTGGGTTTTCTGAGTACATATTAAGCTAGGTGTTTGGTGCTTAGAATGAGGTTGCGCCAATTTAGGGAGTCCCCTTGAACCCCTTGCACATATTTAGAGACTATCATTTTGGATTTCACTTTGGATAGAAAAACTCACAGCTCCTATTTGGTAGCTTACAATTTGGTGTGAGTGAAAAGAACTTTGACCTGAGAAATACAGGGAGCACATGTATCCGTCGATACACTTAGAGAAGACGAAGAAAAGCAAAAGAGTTAAAATCAATCCATCCCCATCATTCCAAGCCGATACAATCAAATTGCAAAGATATCACCGTTATTTGTTCCGGCTTAGCCCAGTCCAGGCATCTCTAACAGCTTTGGCTTTTTGAGTGTCATCAGTCCCCTGTCCCAAATAGCTCAGGTTATTGAGGTTCGTAATGATATTGTCAAAGTCCGCTTGACTCGGGTGGGTGGTATTCAAAACAGCAAGTTTTGTTGTTTCCTCAGTGACACCATATTTGCCAGCCGTCGTTCGAGTGACCCTGGCATTGACGTGATTCCCTTTTTGCGGGTCACTATCGTGTCGGATCTCATAATTCACCTTGGTGTTGTGGTTCTCCTGATAACTGCCTCTGATACCGGTGATGTATTGGTCTCGACTTGCAGAGGGTAGCTGGTTTCTTACGAGCGTGACGTTGTCGGAATTGGCAATCCCGCTGCGACTGACATGGTTGTCGAGGACAGATGAAAGAGGTGTGGAACTTTGGTATACTTGTTCCCGACTAGCTGTTGGCGCGTATGACTTTCCTCCTTTGGATTTTTTTCCCATTGTCGATATTTGTCTGGATCGCCCGAAGTGGGGTAAGATGAACAAGAGATTGGGTGGTGTAGTTAGATTCTAGTACCCGTAGAACCAGTGACCGTGGAATCAGATAGTATCGGATGATCTGGGAGTGCAAGCTGTTGAAGTGGATGGTTGGCATATTAAAAAATTCGATCTTTCAGCCTTTGCATTTCTCAACCTTGCCCATGAGTCCCTCTATTTTGCATCCACGTGTACATTTACACGCACACCTAGCTCCTTAGCCAACTCTTGGATATCGTAAATTTCCTTATTGGAAGAACTGAGAGCAAAGTGAAGGGTTTATCTCTCATATACATGCCAATTTCAGCCTTGACAAGTACCAGAACATGCGTATAATGCTATCACGGATGTCAGTCGAACGCAGGTGGTTATCTTGGCTATCACTGAATAGTTTGACATATCAGATAGACTGATGTGTCAATAAGGAACCGCTATAAATCTGCATGTGGTATAAACCACCGGCCTGATTACCATTTGTTGGTCGGCGAGTATTTGGCAGCTCTGCTCATCGGCGCGGAGGCGTGAACTTTCGGAAAATGCGTCGAGATGATATAGTTATATATCAAAAGCAAGTCGTCCGTCATATCTCTCCCACCTATGACCCGAATAAAAACATACTCACCGAAACGATGTCCACGCAGAGGAGTTGCGGCTACATTCCTTATATGGTTATGAAGAAATTCAGTCTGTTAACCAGCTACACGAGGACTTTCGGCAAGTCATGGGAAGATAGCGAAGGCCGGTCAACATTCTGCTTCACTCGCTATCAGTGCTCCCACAACTTCCTACCTCATGATATTTCCAAGTTCGAATTGAAATTGCATGTCTTGATTGTAACAGCACTTCCCAAGCTTCTTGGTACGGCTGACTAGAAGCATGGAGGATCGAAATCTCCTATTCGCCAACCATCATGTGCAGCATAATAGTCGCCATACAGATTCTGTTAGTCTCTGCTTTTTGTCGACCTCGGACGACTAGAAATGCTCAATAGTTCCAATATATTGGTCGGATACCTGGGAATATGGTTAGCGGAGATTCGCAGAAAGTTTTGACAGCAGCGATAGCAATTTCATGTCAGATCTGAGAAATTCTGAAATGTAGTGACTCTTGGAACACTCACTCCAAGAGGATTTAAAATCCCATGATACTCACTCATCAGGCTGTGAAGGTGGTTTCATCATTTCGCCCATATGCAACACAGAGAAAACTGGTCCCCCTAGACCCAGGATGTGAGGCAATTGGTTGTAGACCCTTGTTAGCTGAGAGGATTGCAGGAATTAATGCACATGTTAAGGCATTTTTCAGAGTTCTGCGGCTAGTTAACTAGTTAGTTACAGTCTGCGATATCGGCATCTGCTGTTCGGTTCACAAGTACTTGTGCTGGATAGTTTAACATCAGTAGACACTTCGGGAGGTGAATTAGCAAACTAACATCTCTGACTAGCATGAGGAAATATCCAGAGTAATTTTGATGGCTAGTAGAGGATCAACCAGTTATGAAGCTTGCTTTCAGGGTTTTCCATAGTTAGCACATCCTCTAGACAGGAGCTTGACAGGGAGAGCTTCTAATAGTTGGCTCCATCAATCCTTAATGTAACTAAATAATCCACCACCGAACGGCGGATAACCCCCGAGCGGCGGATTCTCTCCGAAAATCATCAAATATTCAACTATCTTCAACGCATCATTTCTTCGTGTGTTTTATTTAAAATGTCTTTATCTCAAGAATCTCACATACAGTTTAGTCATTGCTACATATAAATCACAAATAATTATATCAGAGATGAAAGCTGCAAAGATATATTAAGTTTTTGAAACTACCTTGCACAAACAGCTTGCTGATATCAAATCACATTCAGAAACATATGCAATTGATAACAAATTAACAGAGATTGAAGAGAAAACTTTTCTCAAGTAATTCCTGAATGTAAATAAGTGAGATTTTTCAATTTGACTGAAGTCCTTATGTGGAATGATATGTATTCTACTTCATATATGTACTTTTAATTCTATTACCACTTTTAAAGTGAATTCAATAGTTATCTAGGTTCATTTAATATTATTCTTAACTACATATACACTATAATCACTATATATCCTATTAATAGATAAAGTAGAAAAATTTAAAGATTATATAATAATATATAAATGATATAGTTATAAAGCTATTTAAGAATATAAAATTTATGAAGAAAATATCTTAAAACTTGGAGACTAACTTCATAATAAGACTTTGTACAACCTCTAAAATTATTACTGCAGCTAAGTGCAATGAGAGGTCATATATATTTATTTAAAGAAATTGTAAATAGATTACAATTTAGATTATAATTATTGAATATATAGAGTCAAAGAAATATTCTATTTTATTAATAATAATTTTAAAAAGAAAGAAAATATCAAGCATCTTAATATCAAGAATCAGCCTTTTCTCAAAATTTAAAAAATAGTTTTAAATGTTAATGACTAGACCACTGATGAATTAAGATATATACTGACTTAAAAAATATTTAAACTATATTTTAAATATAATTCAGTCGGTACAAAGTAATTACTTATTTTCAATGATAATAATAGATGATTTTTATAAAGATAATACAATTGTCTGTCTTTGCATGTCTGATCATACATTTCATCTTCTTCAATTACTAAATAAAGTTTTTATATTATTAAAATATATATAGAAAAAGCTAGTTGAAGGGATGATGATTGCAGAAAACATTCATTGATGAAGATGATTTTCTATTTCTTTATCCATCTGCACATGATAAGGTCTTTTACTAGAGAATACCTATGGTGGCTTTGCTGGAGCAGCTTGATAGGAAGATTAAAGCTCAGATTGAAGCTCAGATTGAAGCTATGTATCCAGTGGTGGATTAGTTCGTTAATAAGGCTGCTCGTATGACATTATGCAACTAGGGTAACTAAGTATAGAAAACACTCACCACCCCACAATCCACCACAACCCACCACAACCCACCGCAACCACCCAACATCCAACCAACAATTGAACCCTATATTTAACCGCCCGTAATCTCTTCGCTGCTTGCTATTTTATAACTCTTCAATATTTAACCAGTGTTTACGACAACCGCGGAGGATGTGCTAGTGGCTGCAGACAATGAGTTACGGTGATATCTACCTACCAGGAACGCCTATGTCCCTCTGCTCTCGGAAACCAACCCTTGTGCGAGAGACCTGAATGGCATTCCAGGATGCTTCAGCGGCAATCAGTTCATTGGCGGAAGGCCATCGCACTGAGACCTTTTGTAGTACCCGCAAGATGCTTCTCAACCGATAAACCTAGTCCGCCGCCATGGCGGCCAGGCTCAACTCTTGATGAGTGAGTCAATAGGCGTTTTGCTTCTCCTACACGTGGGAATGCATTATGCGGTCTTGTGGAAACTCTCATTAACTATATGTTCCTTTTAGATGGGTTGAACGTGACGTACGACCGATTAGCTTACGCCAGTTAACATTCTTTGGTCGCGCGATCACTGAGTCGCGCTTGATCAGCTCTGCAAACTATGTGCGAACGGAGCTTCCAACAAGGTATGTACACCATTGTGCAACCGTTCCCTCAATGGCATACATGTTCAATTGCCAGGTATCTAAGAGTTCAAACCTAAATTTTTTTTTTTGTTTTACCAGAATCGCCCATCGCCTCCGGGACATGCAGAAGCTTCCCTATGTTGTTGTCACGAACCCACACCTCTCCCTCGTCTACGAGCTTTACTATAAGGCCTTTGAGAAGTTTCGCAATGTTCCCCAAATCAAAACCTTAGAAGACAATGACAAGTATTGCGATATTCTACGGGCCACGCTCAAAGAGCATCTGACAGTAATACCGAATCTTGCAATGGGCGTATTGGAGTGCCAGGATCTCGTGAAACCGGAAGAGATAGATCGATTTATGAATACATTGTTGCGTGCAGTAAGTGGAAATTACGTCAACACGAATTTTCTTGTAAATGGCGAGAACTTGCTAGAACTGATGATCTTCGGACAGCGAATTTCACGTCGAGTTATCGCAGAACAACATCTTGCGCTTACTGATACATTCAATGCCCCATGGCATTTCCCCGATTCAAAGGATAGGACAGACTTAAACGCGGACTTTGTGGGAGAAGTATTTCTCAGGTGCAATGCGAAAGAGGTGGTCGAAAACTGTGGCAACCGAGCAAGAGATCTGCTGAAACACTCACTCGGACCTGATTGTCAGGTCCCCGATGTTGTTGTTCAAGGTCACCTGGAGGCTACATTCCCTTACATACTAAGCCACCTGGAATATATCATTGGGGAATTGTTGCGAAATTCCTTCCAAGCTATCATCGAAAGGTTCAGCCATAAACCAGAAAAGCCCCCGCCTATCGAAGTTTTGATCTGCGAATCTCCACAACACGTCATCATTCGTGTTTCCGATCAAGGTGGAGGAATTCCTCGAGAAGTTTCACCATATCTGTGGTCATTCTGCAAGGGGCCCCACACACAGGCCCGACTTCGTAACTTACAACAAGTCCCCACTATGGCCGCGACGATGCAAGAGGTGAAAGTTTCCGATTCCAAATCTGCTGAACAACAGCACGAAGCAGACACGGGGAACTATACTGCCGATGGACATCCACATAGAGACAGTTCATTGGCATCACTTAGTTCCCGGCCACCAAATTTGCGACTTGGGATGGGACTGCCCATGAGCAGAGTTTATGCGGAGTACTGGGCTGGCAGTCTGGAGCTACATAGCCTAGAAGGCTATGGAGTCGATGCATTCCTACAGATATCGAAACTTGGGAATAAGAATGAGCAGTTGACCATGAGAGCTTCAATAGATGCTGTTTGACATGCAATCAATGCTTTTGGCTTTTTGCTTTCCTTCTCTTTTTACTGAAGATAACCATGACATGCATATTTCCTAATCTCATTCTCTCCCTTATTCTTGGACTATCTCTGTCATCTGTTAAACTTGGTCATGTTACCCTTAGGCCCCTTTTCAAGTCTCTATTACTGATGGAACTATGAAATAGAGTCCCATCATTTCCTGTGAGGTCTTCCTTGTTGTGACGTGCAGGAGGTTCCTTCTGAAATTATTACTCCCACTCACAGCTGCTCCCAATATTAAGAAGGACCAGCCGGCAACAACTTGCGCCTTCCTGGGCTAACTAACAATAACAGGTGGCATCGTCAATAAATATACTGTGGATATTTATTTTCAACGAGCAAACATTTCGAAAACCCCGTTTCTATTTCTTTTCTTCAAGTATACCAAACTTCTGATTATACCACAGAATTTCTTCCCAATCTAGCATATGTGGTCAACATTTGTCATCTGCATCCATTGCTTATTCTAATGGAGTAAGAATCGTCTGTCTCCTCAAAGACTGAATCAAGTTTTAGCTAAACCTGCTTGCACAGTCCTCCTAGAGTTGTGCTTGACGTGCCCAATGAATATCACGATATCATTTTGGACACTGTCGTTGCTCCACCAGTGCCTTCAACTCCAGAGAAACGCCAATTTATGGATCCCCATCATGAGGTGTACGGATATCCATCAAAGGCCCCGCTTCAAACTTTTACCGCTGAATTCCAGTCATATCATCCGTACTTCCGACGATTTTCATTGCTGTATTCCAATCTTCCTCCACTGGAATATCGCAACCCGTTTGTGGGTATTGCTTTTTGCGAAGTTAATGAAGCTGGTGATTGTGAGGTTAGTTGACTCCCGTTGCACGAGCTCAATATTCACAAAAGAGAAAAATTTATAATAGCTGATTGGCGTGCTTGCAGACACCTTATGTTGGCAGAAGGTTGACAGAACAGGCCACAATACAACCATCCCCTCCTAGTTCTGCGCGGTCCACATCTAATACCATCTTCACCCTTTTTGGCAACTCATTTCCTGACTGTCGCAGCATGATTGATATGTACCGTCCACGCTTGCAAGTTTATCCCGGAGTAACAGAAAATCCAACCCCAGATTCAGTCGTTGGCGGCCATCATGGGGGGCCCAGAGTTGTGAACGTCGATATAACAAAGACATGGAAAGGCCTGTCTTCAGATAAAGCGCAAGAACTACTATTTTGGGAGACAACCTTTAGAATGGTCCTTGGATACTTGTTACACGATCAATTTGAACTCTTAGAACAACAGCATGAAATAGAAAACCGAGCATTCCTTGAACTACAGCGTGAACATGAACAACAAGACAAAGTTTCGGACGGTGTGCATTATTTGCCAGTTAACATGATCGATATCGCGACGGCCATGGTCAACTGCTGGAAGGTACATCGTCGTATGCATCATTGGTTGGCGTCGATGGGGAATATTTACAAGACAATTGCACAGTTTATTCGCTGTCATGACTGCTTTGTTTACCCTCCTGTTGGAAATAACTCGTTCATCGCAACTGGCGGTCTTAGAATCGGAGTTAAACTTTTAGACCTAGGTAAACATTCGAGAAACACGATAACCCATACCCATATATCTGGAACTCCTGTCGAGGTGAATTGGGCTCCCGATGTACTGTCATTTGAGCAATTCGACCCTATTACTTCCGAAGGACACGAATTCCGTTTAATGCCCCGATACAACTCTACCTTCATCAGTAGTGGGGCTAAAACTGATTTGGAGCCACCCCATATTGTTTACAAGTCCTCTGCCAGTTGGTTACGGTGGGATGCTTCAATATCCGGCTTTAGCGGGACCGTTCCATTCTGCTCTGATTCTAAGGAATGCGTTGTTTATCCGGATGCCCACTTGGCCTATGGTATTTCAAGGGACCAATCTGAAACATACACCCTTCGGATAATGATTACTGCAACAGCTCTGGAATATTTTGATACGAACGTCAGATTCGAGAAGACTGTCAGAGCCAGGGTTACGATCAATATCAAGAGCAGGAATTGTTCACGAACTCATCCCGACCAACTTTACAGATTCGAGCGTTTGTGGTCGGACAGCCAGAATACGAAGTCCATCCCGTCACCACTAGAATGGAGACCATTGCAGCAAATTAGGCCTAGCCTTGAGAGATTCAAAAATCCAGTTATGAGCTCGACTGTTCCCTTTGTTGGTTGTCCAGATGAGACGCAAATGTTGTTGCCGTTATCAGCTTACGAGATGTGTTCCGGTGAAAGGAGGTCTTTAAGTCAACAGCCGTTCGACAGCTTTATCATCAAGCCGTCTCTAATGGTGGCTAAAGTGCATATTGATTCTGTGTCAAAAGTGGATGAGGGCCCAAGTGGCCAGAGGATTACTTACTCTCCTCCTGGGCCTTCAGAGGGCTGTTTGAATGTGCCACCTCTTCGCCGCCAAAGACGCTCACCACATAACATTCATCCTCTTAAAACAGCCCCTAAACTTGGTTCCACACTTCTCCCACGAACGAGAATTGATCTCCCAAACCATCCTCGAACAGAATCTGGTGACAAGAGGTTACAATACGATATTGTTAACATGTTAGGCATGCCACCCCGGTACGACCAACGCGACGAAGATCTAGAAATGCGGTATCGCCCCTGGGGAAAACGGTCCTATTGGCGGGGGACGAATTTATCTGTTCAGGGGAAAGGGAGTGGAGATCCACATCAAGGCCTCCATGCATCAAGAAATGCGATATTCTCAGGGACAAACTCGATCGAAGAGGATGAGCTGTATATTTCGAAATACTTCCAGGAGGTTGGGTTTGATTCTTTTCAGAGGCAAGCTAGCCATCTCACCAAGAAGTCAGAATCCAATTTTTCTAGAGTTCCGAGTTCTGAACCTCTCACTATGAACTGTGAACCTTTTCTCAATTCCCGCAGGGATACACGTGCAGAACGACTGCCGAATTTGGAAGTACCGTGGACACCACCATCCAGTGATGTGTGTCCCTGTGGTTACTGCCCCTGCCGTTTTCCCAACGGAGCTAAAGTTCGAACCGAAAGAGGCAGCGACAATGAGGCCGGGAAAGCATCAGGACCGTCGGATGGTGATAGTTCATCCGACGAAGGGCCGCCTCTAATTCGCGGAAAAGACAAAGCCGCTTTTGCTCGAATGCTTGTGGAAAGGGCTGAAGCAGGACGTCATATGCTAGGAAGCGACATAGGCGACATTTTCGACTCTTCACCAACTCCCACGTCTGCCGGGGACTGGGAGGACATTGACACGGATGAGGAAGGGGTCGGTCTCCCCGAGGATGGGGATAGTGAGGAGGACGGAACAAATCAAGGTGTGGCCATATCAGTGGCATACGAGTCCTGGGGTTAGCATTACGGGCTTTTTGGTTTTAGTGGTGAAATTGGGTGTATGGCGTTGCACACACATTTTTTTTTTTTTTTTTTTTTTTCATTCAGCCACTCGAATGTTCCTGTGGGGGGTTCCATCTTATTTTTATTATAACTCATTGGACAAGGGGTGTGGTATAAATGTTTGGATCTTGGGAATAGTGTGCCGCATCATAACTCTATGCGGCCTCCCAGACATGTTGTTTTATTCTTTCCAGGCATCAAATTGTGTCTCATTAATGGGGCTCGAAGGGTTTGGGTTTTGGGCGTCTTTTTCTTGTCTGCTTATTGGAGATCACAAAGGATTAGGTGATTGGATATGGATATAGCAGTTCATTTTTTAGTGACACAGATCGTCATTATTTCATTTATTTGCATCTCCGGCCTTCTTATCATACGGTGATATCACGTGGCGATAAGCCTGTTGATAACATCATGACGTCACCCACCGAAGCTGCTGCGTTCGGAAACTTCACTTGGAAACAACACTCAGCCCTTTGCTCCTTCTTTGTCGGCGTCTTGTTCGCCCTATTCACGATTTATATTTAATCCGGCGCATCGCTTTACTCTCTTCTAAAACCTCTTTCTCCGACAACCACAGATTATGGGCAAATACATTCTTATATTCGTCGAGGTTCCGCCTTTTCACACTTCGCCTCCCCTATATCCTTCGTTTTCCGATTCCCTCGTCCGATTTCTCTCTGCCCCTCGGAGGCTAGGGGAGGTCTCCGGATTGGATGATCTCCTTGAAATTTCTAACCGTGTTTTGGACCCTGTCAACTTATATCCTTGAGGTCACTCAGTAAAATGCTATTACACGTCGTGCGTCGTGGACAGTAAGTTATCAAAGGGCAACCCGTGGACGGCGTGATATATCTCCATTCTTCAACTAGGTGTTGAAGAACTCTCTTGGGGGGTATCCAGGGAACCGCTTCCGGAAAGGAAGACATAATTGGAATTAACCAAGACGGAGAGACAGAGAAAAACCTGAAATAGAAGAGGATATAAGCAACAACCATGACAGGGGACGCTGTAACTGCCGTTTGCCTGATTATTATCACGATGTTTAGTAAGTAGATTACCGATTCCTATACCACGCCACAGCGGAACAGAATATCCTATCTACTTCGATCTATGCCTGTGGCACTAGGCATTGTCATTGCATCCTAAACGCTTGATAATCACTCATCCGTGGTTACGATATGATACTAATATCTTATCCTCCTAAATACAGTCCCCCCCTTAGGAGTTTTCTTTATTAGCGGATGCTCTCCAGACCTCCTCATCAATGTCTGCCTCACATTACTTGGGTGTGTACAATTCCATTTTTCCCACCTTCATTTTCGCTCCACAACCCATATCATTTCCATATTTTCTTCTACACCAAACTTTTGTATGTACATACATACAGACCATCTTAGCGCAGTCGCTAACTTTTCCTCTCCACCGCTCTACCTTTGCCCAGATACTTCCCTGGCCATATCCATGCCTTCTACTGCGAGTATGTCTACTATGACAGGCGCGGGAGAGGGAACCAAGGCCGTATGGCCTGCTATCGGGCCCCAGGAATATTCTCAGA